TTAGCCAATGAGATATCTTATAATGCTCAACGTGAAGTTGCACCAAAGATCATCTACCCCAAAGAAGCGGAGGGAGTTGACTTTTTTTTAAAAAAAGTTTGTGGAGTTTTTATCCAACCACACCAACATAATCCAGAAAAAAGGAGTTCCTAAAAAAGTCTTTTCTCCTACTTCCACAACCCCATAGCGAGGAAGGGGAAAAATCCTCAAGAAAAGGGGGAGAGATCCCATTGAATATGAAAGTGGGACTGGAAAAAATTTGACATGGCCTATTATATGATAAATTTAAGCAGGTTTGCATTTTGTCTAAAAGGGTGTGGGCCATTGACAAGGAAGACAGACCCCTAAAAAAGTCTAAATAGCTAGAACCTACTTAACCTATTTAGATTTGTTTGACTGCTTAAACTGGTTAAACAGATTACTTGTTTCACCATTACAGATTGAACATATTTGACCTATGTGGCGTATGTATAAAAATATAAGTGTATGTCCAAGATGTATATAATATATCCACATTGGTCAAGTCGACTCGAATTTCAGGTTGGTTAAACCTTTTGATCTAGGATAAATAAATCATGTGTTTAAACATTTTGACGTGTTTATTGAATGGGTGGTATATGGGTTGTATATACCTTTGAGGTAATAATTATTTATTATATATATTAGTATGATCTATTTAGGTACACCTTATCAAATTGACATCTCTAATCGACAGTATCAAACAACTTGATGCAAAGCTTCTAAGCCACATCAAAATGCAAAAGGAGATGATTGTAGAACTCGACCTTTTGATAGCACATTTACACACATCTGAAGAGGGATCATGGCTGGGCCTTCGAGCTTGAAGCAGATTGTATGTGCTAAGCATGTTAAGAACAATTGTCCTAACAAAAACCTTTACTTTGAGAAAATATTCACCTTCTAGTAAGCATTGATAAAGACCACATTCTAATTGATGGGATTGACGGTGGGATAGCAAAAAAAGGATTTACAAGTGTAGACACCTAAAGAATCGAAAGTCTAGAATGTGCAACCAGGAGTAGAAGAAACTTAAAAGGCTCACGGAGATTAAGTAAGTAGGCATGTCAATAGTTTCTCCATCATTTGGGTTTATGGGAAGGAACAAGTTCCAAGATGTATGATCTTCATATTAGATTATGAAAATAAAATTAAGGACATTGTGGGAAAGAGAAAGGTTATACAGGCGCGAGCAATGGTTGGGTATGATGTTCTTGTTTCTCTCTAAGATGTTAAAAGTCATTTCTCCTTTGATTACTTATCTAGTTATGCTATTTGAATGCAGGCACTTATCTCATCATGGAAAAAAGGTGATACAATGCCATTCATCTTTGATACGGTAATAGCTCCATTAATTTTTTGTTGTATAGCATACAATATTTTATGAGAGATCAATTGCCAAATTTCTCTTAAGGATCTTTTGTGAATTGATTTAAGTGTTTTTTGGTGCAGATGAGCTCTTAATCTTATGAGTATATAACTTGCTGAATTCATTGCTGGGTCCAAATATTGGGTGACAAAACAATCATCTTTGAATCTTGCAGGTGTGGGACTTGATTAAACTGGCAGACTATTTAACCAAGAGAGATGATATAAACCCTAAAAGGATTGGAATCACTGGTGAATCACTTGGAGGTCTGTTGCTTTATACTTAAAGATGATGAATAACTAAGTCTGAAATTATAGCGTGCAAGATTTATTTGATCAATATGAAACATAGGGATGCATGCCTGGTTTGCGGCTGCTGCTGATACTCGTTATTCAGTGGTTGCCCCTATAATTGGTGTTCAGGTATACTATTCATTTCTTTATGCAATTTTATCAGGTACCTTTATTTATGTTGATCTTTTTCTTGAGTGAATAACAAAACTTTCTTGTAATCTAGGGATTTCAATGGGCCATAGAAAATGACAAGTGGCAGGGTCGAGTTGACAGTATAAAGCCTGTATTTGAATGTATGCAATTCATAATGACAAGGAATGACTGATGATTTCATTTAGATAATTAGGGCTAATTTACCTATTTAGGATTTTGTGGATAAAACCTGAATATCACACAGATTTTTTAGATGTCATATCTAAAAGTCTTAGTACCAAACTGTTACGAACGGCAAATTA